TCTACTGTTCCTTAATTCTTTTAAAAGTTATTTATTGCAATTGACAGCTGCTCCCGTTTTCCTACCATTTTTGTAAATCATTTGCACTGTGTTCACACGCTTGAATATATGGTGTGTTTGTTTGTGTGTGTGTGTTTTATACTCCTATATGTTCTTTAAGTTTTCTGGAACTATCAGCAACATTAACCCCTTCGTGACTGACGACGTACAGTGTACGTCGCCAGCATCGGGGCTGTTTAAACAGACTCCCGGTGACTTTTGCTGCTGGGACTCTGTTTAAACTTGTAGAGACGACTGTCGCCTTTACAACAGAAGTGATACTGGCGACTTACCTGTCGCCAGATCGCTTACTGTATACCACTGTATGCAGTGGTCTATGGCTGTATAGAAAAAGTATAGGTATGTGTATACAAATTAGTTCAGTAACGTTGTGACTGCAGCTGAACTTTGTGATAGGATATTGTTATCATGAATTGCTGATCAGCAAAAAAACCTAGATGGGCAGATTTCTCAGCTTTAATGACAGAACATCTGTCCTTTTAATACATGCTAGCCACAGAAAGTACCTTTCGGACACTCACTTGCATCTGAAATGATAGTGCAACATTTTGTAAAGCTCTTTTATAAGATTAGGTGACCAGAATATTGGGTCATGATTGCAACTAGCCGACCACAGATGGGAAATGATGGTCAGATTTGCGGGGACTTCCACTCCTGGGAAGATTGGCATCCGTCTTGAATATTTTCCACTTGTGAATAATCTTCCTCGCTGTAGAATGATGGGTTTGAAATTGTTTGGAAATTACCATATAATCCTTCCCAGATTGATGGGCAACAACAGTTGTTTCTCTAAGATCTTTGCTGATGTAGAAAGAAAGCAGTTCATTTTTCACACATGGCTTTTCCATTTTGGCTCTAGGTTTGTAATATAAATGACACACAGTGTAATATGTCATGTGTGCTGTTCATCTGAGGTTCCATTAAATAATAAGACCTGCTAAAGATGATTTTTATTATGTCCTGATTCTTAAAACCATAGAATTCAGAGGGTGTACTTTCTTTTTTATATGACCGTGTGTATAAAAAAAATAAATAGATAGATCGATCTATCTAGATAGATATCTCCACAACCCCAGAATAGGTACAGTATAGAAGTACTTAGGGAAACTTAAACATTATTTCTATGTACTTTGAAAAAACTTTCAGTATGACCTGCACTTTCAAATAGCTACAAATCTAAAACCCTCCAGTTCTAACCTTTGCATGCACTTTTAAACCTTTTGCTCTGCAGTTATATCTTCAGTTCAAGGGTGAATCGTACCATGTGACTATCTCAGATGTTGCTTAATCTTTTCTGTATGTGTGTGGTTTGTTTTTTATTTTTCCCTTGGCTTGAGATCCTTGGCTTGAGATTTGCTGAGTCATGTAGCTTGCACTTGGCATGTGGATCATTCATACTGAAGCAAATAATCTTTTTTCTGTAGTCCAAATCTCTCTTTTATTTGACCATGTAAAGTGGATTTAAAAAAAAAAAAAAAGAAGAATTTCTTGCTGTTAATGCTGTTATATAAAACAGACTGATTTTTTAAAATGAATACCTACCCACTAGCATTTACCTTCTAATTTCCCTGAGGTATGGGTATACTCAAAAGGACATGTTACGGAAAAGTAATGGAGCCATATAACAAAGAGCATTTAATAAAGTGAGTTAACCCAATGGTGAAAGAGCTGATTTTGGGCCTGTGGCTAGGTAAACTCCCAAGAGAAATCGCACTCCGAATTTTAGGATAGTGATGGACAGCTTCCTCAGAGGGACTCCTGGAGGGATCATTGTGTTTTTGTCTGGTTCATTTCCGAGCGACTGCATCTTCTTCTTCTTCTTCTTCTTCTTCTTCTTCTTCTTCTTCTTCTTCTTCTTCTTCTTCTTCTTCTTCTTCTTCTTCTTCTTCTTCTTCTTCTTCTTCTTCTTCTTCTTCTTCTTCTTCTTCTTCTTCTTCTTCTTCTTAAACGCACTGCATTGCGTCCGGCTCACTATGTTGTGGGGCAGGATGCATTTTGTTCGGACCGGACTGCAGGCATTGATGTGCCTTGCGTTCCCATGCGACCGATCGCATAGTGGCTGGAGGGCGTGGCTATGGTGCCATTCCCTTCAGTGGACCGCCATGCCCCCTCCTGCCCCACAACATAGTGAGCCGGCCACAAAGCGATGCTGTGCGTTCCGGCCAGAATCAGGCCGGAATGCACTGACTGGTGTGAACGAGGCCTAAGCAGAACCTCAAAGCACCGCAGTTTCTGATTGCTGTTCCAGAGATTTGAAGTGGGATTTGGTGATGTCACTACTGTGCTGCTGATCACTGTTCTTGCTGGAAGTTCTGGCATGAGAGAACAAAAACCTGCCTCTACTAAGATGGCTGCCTCCACAAAAAGAGACAACACGGAACAAGACACGTCAAGTCAGTAATGGGGAAACATCAGCTGTAGGGAGACCACTGTCAATAAAGCTCTTTGACCTCTGCCTACCTTTTTTAAGGCACAGCTTCAAGAATACAGTTCCTCTTCAACTGTGTGTGCTCTGCAGCCAGGTATGTATGTTTAACCCAGTGCAATGAACATCAGGCAACTTGTCCTCAATGGTCATTTCAAACTGATTTATCAGTTTGGTGGCAGTACTGGCAGGCGGTGTCACATGCTGGCTTTTTATATCTCTCAGGGGCTCCAGAAATGAGGTCTAACCATCAGAATTTCCAGCTGGCTAATGATGTTGAAAACAGACCCACAAAGTGTTAAAATGAGCTATTAAAATAAGGCCCCTCTAAGATTTGCTTTGTATGTTTTCAACCATGCATTTAACACGAAGATAAAACATAATGGTATGTCTGCGTGGTCCTTGTATTTTTGCAGGCTGCATTTCAATGCTAAAGTATATGTAGTGGTCGGTGGCAGGATTTTTGGAATTGCGTCACTCTACGTTCACTGGTCTGCAAGAGTTTTTAAACTGGTTTGTGCATATAGTATATACAACACCACATATTTTATTACATGATTAAATGTCTTTGATTTCCTTAACACTTAAGGTATTGTATACCTGAATACGTGTCCTTTGCAATACAATGTGAGGATTTACAAAGTGCAATTCTAGATTTCACATATGATTAGTTATGTACTGCTGAAGTATTTGCATAGCAGTGTATGTAGTACTGTATAATGTGCAGGCAGTTCTGTATCTATCATGTGCAAGTCAACTAAGTTTATGAGCAATGCCAAAGGGCAATGGGCAGAGAAAAGCAGCAACCAGGCATTTATTATTTTGCTGCTCCCAGGTCAGTAAAGTTAAATCTGATTGGATGAGGTCTGCTATGTAAGTTATTGCTAGTTTTTAGCACCTTATAAAAAAAACTTGAATTTTTCTGTTCCGTCACCTGTAAAATATACCAGAGCAAAGTTCATGAGTATATCAGTAGTTCTGAGCAAAACACATTTTCTTCATTGTGAAGATATAAAACTTTTTCTGCTAATGATCCCCATTGTAAACAATGATTTAAATGCTTTCCTTTGCTTGTGTTGGTTTTAGCATCCAGGTGGAGAGGAGGTGCTACGAGAACAAGCTGGAGGAGATGCAACAGAGACCTTTGAAGACATCGGTCATTCCACAGATGCCAGAAATATGTCAAAAGACTTTATCATAGGAGAACTTCATCCAGTGAGTTAATATGAATTGCAGCCCTCGTGATCATATCCGAAGAATTGTGTCCCAGGTGTTTGTGACAAAAGCATACAAATTTTAAAAATGCAAAGACTGGGGCAGTGGCGTCACAAGGGGGGTGCGGCCTGCACCCGGGTGACACCATTAGAGGGGTGACCCCAAAATGACTGGCAGTCCCCTCCTCTCTTTGCCGGCGTCCATCACCAAGATGGCCGCCAGCAGGCGTCAATTAGATAGACGTCATGGTGACGTCACGCACATGTACGATGGTGTCACGATGGGCTGTCACCCGGTCTCCGCTCCGGGTGACACCTGACCTCGAGACGGCCCTGGACTGGGGTGCAAAATGTTGTAATCAATAGCAGTCAATTGTCCCCTTGTTCTAACTGTTGGGTGAGGTGTGGGGTTTTTTTTGCTCCCTTTACTTTCTTGCCTAGAGAAAGTGGTCAGCAGATCAAAGGTGAGATGCAATTTCCCCAATGGGGATCTGAAGAGGATAGGAGACTCAACAGAGGTTCTAACCCTACTTTACTCTATCCAAAACATTACATTAAAATTCACTTTTTCTGTTTTTTCTTTAAATCACCAAGGTGTGTTTTTATTCTGAAAACATATTTGAAATACATACTGTTCTGTGTGTAAGGATTTCTAATTCTTCTTAGCCAGTATTGAGACCCAAGTACCCATAACCAGACAGCAAAGCCAGTCCTCAATCTCCCTGTAGACTACACTTAATTTAAAGAAATATGGTTTGCTACTCAGATTACAAATTAACGGTAAAGGAGCAGAAGAACACTGATGAGATCCCACTGATAATGCCACCCCTGTACTCTCTCCCCCTGTAAATATTTTAACCAATATTGTTGTGCAATCTATATAACCTTGATTATATCGTATTGCTGACCTCCATCTACCTGGCCCTTCTTCTACCAATCCGAGTCCTGCTGTGCTGGAGAATACAGATGGTTATGTCAACAAACGTATGTGTTTTGTTCCATGTAAAAATAAATACAACATTCTTTCTGAAGACATAGCTTCAGTCTCAAAATAATTGGTTTAAAGAGACCAAGGTGGATCTTTCAGATATAAGAAATAGAAGGGGGCATACACCCTTGGATTTATGGAGGTGGTTTCAACTCTAATTTTGTCAAGAGCCTCCCAAAACGTCTACGACACTTAGATTCCCTTATTCCAATAGAAAAAGTATTCTTGCTCACATCGGCCTCTCTTATGGTGTCTTCTATAAACTGTTCCTAGCAGCAGCACATCTAAACCCTCCAGCCTACCTGATACACTAAGAGTAGGAAATGGTTCACATCCTCTCTAATGAACACCAATCTAAAATTCTTGTCCTAACTCCTACTTCCTCAAGCAACACCAATATATCAGAGGGCAGATTTCTATCTCAGTGGTACAGAGCCTTAAGTAGGTGTGACCCATAGTTTTCTACAATGTGCTGGAGATGTGGACAGCCCACCAACGCTTTCTCCCATATTTGGTGGCACTGTCCATTTATTGAATCTTATTGGAAACAAATCACTGATTTCATAGAGACAATTACCACAATTACCACCACGACCCTCCCATACGACTTCTGGGTCCTCTTATTTCAAAACGCAACTATGTCTGCCCCTACATATAAAAAAAAGTGTGACACTTCATTTTCTAATCTCCAAATACTGGAAAATTCCAGATCACCATTAGTAGCAGAATGGATTTTGAAAGTTGATTAGATACATTTGATGGAAGCGGTCACCATTGTTAAAACGGCTGACTATGACAAAGCATGGGTGAACTGGCTCCATTTTTTTAAATTCCAACCACTGCAAGTCTTTTCTGGAGACAATGCCAGATCTTATTTTACGGTAGAATATGCTAGAATATGTTTTGATTAGGGATGTCCTGATACCATTTTTTCAAGACCAAGTACAAATACTTTCCCTCAGGTACTTGCCGATACCAATTACCAATACCTTTTCTTAAAGGGACATGTGACTTTTTTTCTAAAACAATACAGGTGCAGTTTCTTTATAATTATGAAGAACTGTAGCTTAATCCATGATTATACTCGTCTTGATACAAAAAATAATTTTAGCCAAAGCCATGCTAAGAAGAGCTTCTCATGGTTAGTCACCTGACTGCATTGATCAAGAGTGCTCGCAATTTCCAAGGGAAATTCAAAATCCAAAGCGCAGGGTTGCACTGTATGGCAGTATGAGGTACAGATAGTACACCCGGAGGGGAAGGACTGTTCACCAAAAGGGTAAGTATGGGGGTGGGGAGGGGGGTTGGCCAGATTTAAGCAGGTAATTCCATTTTTCCCAAGATAATTGGGAAAGTGAACTTACCCTTTAATGTGCATTGTGTGTGTTGGAGAAGCTTGCTGCCTGGCTACCACAGTATGGTACACAGTGGAATGAGGGTAGCACAATGCCCTATGCATGCGTTTATTCACACGCAGATGGCGGGGTTGGTTTTTAATTTTGTATTTTTTTTCTATTATTTTGTATATTTTGCTATTTATTTTTTAATTTGTATTTTTTCTAAGTTTTAATTGTTGTAGATATGTGCAGTCTGGGTTAATACAGTTCATACAGCAAATAGGTGGCCTCTCTTAGTGCACAGTTTCAACCCCCCTTGTGTTTCCTTTGTCCCGTGATTCTATGTACACCATGGTATGTGTGTTACTTCAGGACACTTATAGAAGCTGTCCGCTTGCATCATTCTGTTCATAGACCAAGGTAACGGTCCTGCATTTGTGTAAATATTTGATTGTACCAGTCTGGACAAATCCCAGAAGTGGGGTAGGCAAAATACTTCTTGATTCCATCTGGGGCAAAGGCATATTTGTGGCATTTAAATCCAGTCTATTCTAGAGGTGCCTTCACATACCTGGCAGCACACTCCACACTCTGATGGGCAAACTCTGCCTTCTTCCTTGTAAGGCCAAAGCTTGAATAAGTGATGTCTCTGTTTTTACTACAACAGAATTCTGCATTCCCCTAGAAAGTTAACTGGGGAAGGTGTTCCTTGGGATTATTTTTTTTTTTTAAGTGTATTCATCTTACAAAGAGCTGATATATTCCCTGCACCTTAAAGAGCTTCTCTAATAATGCTCATAGCAATTTTACACGGAACCTTATTTTAGACTATGGAAGGAAACCAAGGCTTTTACAAAAACACATGCAGTACATACATGGGGAATGTATTGGTAGACGAGATATTAATGGATTTTCCTTATACTCTGCGATTTACTACAGCTGTATAGTGTATTTATTTAAGCCAAGAACAAACATGTAATATATTGCAGCTTACCAGTCCTTGGATGAGGTGGCTGAATTCATTTTTCTCTTCAGGCTTTTTTTTTTCACCTGGCGATTCAGCCACTAACGCACTTCCTGTCCTAGGGTGTCAATGCTCACTCAACTCTTGGCCAGTTCTATCTATGGAGGAGCAGCATTGTTACCCTAGGGTAGGCTATTCAGATTTGGACTACAGAACCTTATCTCTTTAACATAAAGAGGATGTGTTCTGTTGTCCAGAGCAGAGAACTGAGCAGGGTTGACAACACTGCTAGGGATTTCAGTGCGGCAGAATGCACAGGAAGTTAAAAGTTTACTGGATTTCTGAAAGGATCAGCTGGTATATTTTTGTACTTTTTGAACAGATGTAGCCAAACCCTTTCAATGCTATATTCGATCAAAAGCAAATGTAAAAACATTATAGCTGGGGTTGAACACCATGCAAAACTGCTAGGCCAAAATCTTAACATTTTTCTTTTCTTTTCGTCTTCCTAGGATGACCGATCCAAAATCCAAAAGCCAACAGTAAGTTTTGTATTTTACTTGGAAACTTTACTTTTATTTTTATTTTGGCCATACAGGACATTTAGCAGATATATAAAATGTATTATTGTTAATTTATGATGCATCATTGTCTTTGGGCCATCCAGAGTGTTGTCACTCTATGCAGGGGCTGTCAAATCCCAGTTGCCTGGCTGTCGTGCTGTAATGCTTTTTGAGTCATTGACATGAAACAAGTATACAAATCACAAATTCAGACTAACTGCTTCACACTTGTTTCAGGTCAGGGACTAACAATGTGTTTGGGTTTGGAAGAACAGCAAGACCAGCAATTGGAATTTGTAAATGGACAGCGGTAGTAGCAGTCTGCGCATTTCTTTAGCATAGTATTTTCTAAAATTGGCACAGCATGTAGACATTTTTATGTTCTAACAAATACACAGAAAGATGAAGAAACACTTTGCAAGCCAAATATGTCTGGAAATAAAAACTGTATTTGTGCTAAAGGTATGTTTTTTTGTTTTTTTTTCCCACTAGGAAACCTTTATTACCACTACTGAATCAGATTCCAGGTATTTATATATAATTTGTTTTTTTTGTCTTTTTAACCCCCAGATGTCTGTAGAGTCCTAGGTACACTTCCCTGTGCCATGAGAACGTTAATCCACACTCTTGCTGAGAACTAGGACACGTGTGCACTCCTAGCTCTGAGATAACACTGTTACTGACCGCTGCAGATCTAAGACTAACAATAGGAAACCAAATCAATGTGGTTTCTGATCATGTGACTGCCATCGTTATTTTGTTTATAAGGGAAATATAGGCCATAACTGCTAAATTACTACATTTAGCTAATGGCTTCTAATTCCCCTATAGCTTACTTTAATTGGGAAAAATAATGTACCTGATGCTGCAGCCTTATGTATGGTACAGAGCCAGGTCTAAAAATGTTAAGGTGCCCATACACTGCTCGATTCTCGTACGAGAATCGGGCGAAATCCCGCGATCGTACGAGAATCGAGCAGTGTGAACTAAGACGTGCGACCGTTTCTACTGTACGGTCGCACGTCTTTTGTCGAGCCAACATGCTCGAAAACCCGCCGAGAATCGTACGATTCTCGGCGGGTTTCTAGCCTGCTCGCCCGATAGCTGCGGAACGGGCCGGTGTCCGCACGCGCACATTGCCCGTTCTGCATTGCCGTCATCGGAAGCCCGCCCCTCAGCGGGGCGGGCTTTCGATGATCGCAAGTACGATCTGCCCGTCCAAGGTGGGCAGATCGTACGGGCTTTCAAGAAGCATACGACCATCGCAAGACAAAAGTCTTGCGATGGTCGTAAGGTGTATGGGCACCTTTAGACTTTGTTCATGCCTTGCATAAAAAGTAGTTACAAATCTCTAACATTTAATAGACCATTGCATGATGGTTTTGACAGGTTCATATGGAAGCCAGTGTAATTCCAGCTAGAGACTACCCTAAGAAAACACTCCGTATTATTGAACTGCATCTGGACACCATCTCAAGCATATGATCAGTAAAGACCGTCCCACAATAAAGATGTATGTCAGTGCCTGCTGTTATGCATTCATAGCACTGGCATTTTTTACTGCAGTAGTCTTGCTATGAGAGAAGTACACAGGCTGCAATTGTCTTCTTCAGAAGTTGCTAGTTGCCTTATGTCTTTACTGGTTTCTGTTCAGTACTCGGAAAGCGTTAAAGCCAAAGCACCAGCATTCTCAAAGGAGAAATCATCAGAGGTGGCCTACTTAATTCTCTCATGACCAGTGTGCTTTACGTTTTGTTTTGTTTTATTCAAGCAGCCTAATAATTTTCTAACAGGCCTGATTTTGATGGGATTGCCTTTAATGTGGCTGGGAATTACAAAACGTGGACTCCATAAATTCCACTAAGACTTTGGACAAATTGAGGTCATGGGTTATTGGGTTTCTTTTCTTTTCATTGCAGATGGTTTGGGGTATTTTGGGCCCAGTACATAGTCATTTGCTGCTGTATTCACAGAAGTATCCCTGTATGTCCAACTGAGGTGCACACGCTATAACAATAAAGGAAGCCGCATTGTTAGAAATCATACAGTAACAAATGTAAGCTGTTTTTTGCTAGCAAACCTAAAAGCAGTTATAAAACTGATATGTGAATACAAGCCTTGCAGCCTTTATCCTGAAGGTCATGAGACTTTGGTTAATGAGAACCCATGAAACCTCCAACTCTCTCTCCTTTTATGGTCCCCAGCCCAGCAGGTTAACCAGGGTTTTTTTTTTTTTAAACCTTTGATAACTCTTGTAGACAATGACAGTTTTACATACTTTTTTTCAGTTGGTGGAGTAACTGGATAATCCCTGGCATATCAGCTGCTATTGTTGCCTTAATGTATCGTTTCTACATGTCAGAAGACTAAGACATTCAACAAGGATGGTAGAAGAAATTCTATTCCAGACCAGGAAATAAGTTCATCACCTTACGATGGCAAAATCAGATGTAGTGTATGAACTGTGCCAACCAAGTCCTTCTCCGGCTGTTTCTTATTGCATCTTATTGGATCCTTTATGTTAACTTGCAGTCCATTTTAAACTTTGTAATAAAAAATATTAGTATGCCTAAAGCAGATACCACAAGATGCATTTTTTTTTACATTTATATGCCAGAAAACTGTTTTTCTCTGTGTCTCCATTTGATTTTTAGTTTTACTTTGTTAGTTGGGTCTGACTTTTCCTGATTTTCATGGCTAAGCTCTAACTGGCAGTCTCATCGTATAGTGGAATGGTGGTACATCTTACAGATGAATTCATGGAAAGTCCAGCCCCAATAACAAAGCATATCTACATCAGAGTAGTATGATAGCATGCATCTTGTGATGTCTGCACCTAGGCAGGACTTTAACATTTAGATTGTTTTAAATGGAGTACAGGTTCTTTAATTACAATGAAGACAACAGAACCACTAATAATTATTTCTGTACCAATGACTGAAACTACACAATGTGTTTTTTACATGTATGGGTTTTGCCCTTTCTCAGCTCTCCATTTCCATACCTGTCCTTTAAAGAAACCTGTATTGGCAATGGATGGAGACTGCCATTGCTGACCTTTTTCATTCTGAAAATCCTAAATCCCTGGCTAGATATCTTTATTATATTTGTGCTTCTGTTCTTATACAATCTAATGGGCAGACATCTCAAAGTGCGGGACCCATGTGCTTGATGGCAGATTTGAGAAATGCTGCTATTATTTTTAGATCTGTCTATGCCTGTGTGTGCCCTGCTCCCTTTTTTATATGGAGAGCTTTGGCTCAGTCAGTAAAGCATATGACATTGATGATGTACAATAACTCATAACAAATTTCACTTTACCCTTATTGAATAAGTATGGATGATTTCTGATTTAGATGTTAGGAGTATTGCACATTTTACAGTGTCCTCTGCCTTTAAATGGAAGCTCTTTGGATAGATATATGGGAGCTGTTACTGACCAACATCATTTTGAGAGATGCAGGCTTCATGACTGTCATCCTTATCCTGGCATTACTACCGAGTGATTTAGGGACCTGGAACAAATATTTAGTCAGAAAGTTGGAAAGTTCTAAGCGTGCATCCTGCATGTTTGTTCTAAGTCAGAGGCTTAATAAGTAGTAAAGTCACTTGTCAGCATGACAACTCCTTTTAATAACAAGTCAGCACTGGCAGTTTCCATACTTTAATCCTTGCAGATTTTGGAATCGTGTTATGAAATAGAGGTTAAAGTGACACTAAACTCAGGAGTTAAATCTTAAATACATTCAAGTACCTTAACTATTAACAAAAATGTATCTTATTTGTGTATCACTCAGCTGTAGATCCTCAAATAATCTTTGAATTTATGCTGACACTGCCCTTCCTTCTGGAGGGTGGCTACTTTCGTTCCCTATGGTCCCTGTGTCTGTTGTAAAGTAGCCACCACTCCAAGCTCACTCCTGTGATATAGTAAAATCTCACACTTAGTTTACTAATTTGTATTGAGATTGTAATCAATCAATGGAGCAGGTTTGGCGCGGTGGCTACTTTACCACACGCACAGGGACCACGGGGAACAAAAGAAGCCACCCTCCAGAAGGAAGGACAGTGTCGGCACCAATTCAGAGATGATTTGGGGACCTACAGCCGAGTGATACACAAATAAGTTACATTTTTTATAATAGTTAAGGTACTTGAATGCATTTTTAAGCACTAACTCCCGAGTTTAGTGTCACTTTAACTGTTCTTAGTGAATCCTATTAATGGTATGACCATTTCAGTGGTATTGTACACCATCCTCTTGCATAATATAGACTGGAACCATTATAGCAACACTGACTTTCAGTGGAACATTGCTTACCAATGATATTTTGGTAAATGTATAGATATAATAAATATTTGTGTTGTGCATGTCACTTGAGAAAAGTCTATACAGACACACACCTTAAAGCACATTAGGAGGTTAGGAACAACAAGTGGCTAAGCAGACAACAAAGTTATTTGTAGGTCTTTTTATATAAATAAAGGGGAAAATACATGTTTAGGTGCATGTTATTTTACAGTGTAGGAACAAATAAACTCGATTATGAGCTTGGAAAGTATAAAACTGAAAACTGCATTGTGTGCCTATACATATTTGACATAATTCTTCCATCTTTAATCTTGAATGTAAACATTACATCTTCTAGAAATCTCACCATTTCATATTCAAGATTACTATTGTTGCTATTGTGATCAAAAATAAAAAGTAATGTTTGTATATAATTTCCTTTTTTTGTTTTTCTAATTATGCACAGGCATCTTTAAGTACATTGTTGATATGGAGTTCATGCCTGTCCAGCTAGAAGGTACACTCGGGTGTCATATGTAAACTAAATGCCAGTAAATCGGAACCAAAAAATGGTAGTTTATGTAAAAGGAATACCTCACAAGTGTGTGTTAAGAGCGCCAGTACCTACATAATGAAGTAAACTGTATAGGTCTCTATAGTTCTCTGTTATCAGCTATTCCAGACTAATAACCTGTGTTTAAACTTTGAGCTTGTCGATGTTAAAATGCAGATTGCTTTGGGGACCGTTTCAAATTCATTGAGGTGCAGTTGGCCTCCTTCCAGCCGGCATTTGGCCTGCTGCAAGATGCTTCTGCATTCCCATAGACATGTATGGGGAGGAAAATAAAAGCCTGTTGACACAGGCCCTAAGGGCTCACCCAAACATAAGCTCCACAGTACAGTTCATAGCACCTCCCTACTACATGTAAACCATGAGTACTTCTGCATCATTATACTCAATAGTACAGCTTGAATATATGTAGTGCACTGTGAAGGACCTTGCCCTGATTTATTCGTGTAGCAGTTTTGGTGCCTCTAGAAGGGGTTCTCTTAATAGACCTTTTCACCACACAAAAACTGCAGGTCTTTTATGCCATTTTTTTAATGCAGACAAAGCCTTAATGATACTTACCAATTGCTCCTGTTGTTAGATTGTTGAAGAAAAAGTCAGCTGTACAATTGGAAAAATTAAGATTTTTGCTCTACCAGCTTTTGTCCAAATATCTTAAGTTCTGATAAACCTGTGAAATCTATTAAACAATCTTTCACAAAAAAATCTTGTATATTTTGTTTGGTGGCCTTGTTTTTCTAGTTGGCTGAACTAATTGCTTACCAGTTAAAATTCATTCGTCCAGCTTATTTTCAATAATAAAATAAAGTGCAAGTCCCTCCAATAGTAATTATTTTAGTTATAGGTGGATATGGTGGGTTGAGTCAACCCCTGCCAACCCATTCTGAAGTTTTGTATGTTCCCAAGTTGCATCCTTTAAAATCTAAAACTAATTACAAATCAAACGGGGAGACTGGGACCCCCTCATAACTTCTGTAGTAGCTTATTTTGTAAAAAAAAAAAAAAAAAAA